TTTGTTCTTCGTCGTGTCACGTTAATGACACAATCTAAAATTTTGTGACACTCTCCTTATTAAATAAAACATAAATTCCGCAGATTTGTTGATAACAAAAGAGAATCTCTGTTTGTTCAACCCGAAGAAGCGTTAATTTCTTCGCTCCTTCTTTCCCATATTCTTTATCCGTAACGACCGTTTCCCTGCTACCCATATGTTGAGAATACTGAAAAGCTTCTGTCGCCTTATGGTCGCGCTAAGTGCCGATACGCGCGCATGCTTCCACGCGTTATACATACGTACATAAGGTGCATACATGCACGCGTAGGGTACATATTTGACTGACTGCGTGGCACGTGGGTTTACGAACGCTTCTAAGGAAATCATGATTTCTATTTGTGGACTGCACCACAACCAGACCGATCTTTCCTTCCTCTCGATTTTTGCATTCGCGACCCCGTCTGTCTAACTTCGTCAACGTCGAAGAACGCGAGACGCTGAAGAAAAAAACTTATTATTCTGTTTCACAAGATCAATTATTTACTCATTTAATATCTGATTTCGTATAACATTTATTATTACATTTAATATTTAATTTATTAATCCATTCAATATCTTTTTTATTACCTCAATTTCGACAATGTATAAAAAATGGGAAGTGGATTCTCGCGGAAAGCGTCTACGTGATCTATGGTTAAAGAAATGGATCAATGCCGTCGCGATTGGACGCTACAAGTAAGATTGGGAAAGGTCTGGTCGAGAGATTATTTCAAGGATACCCGACATATGGCAAAATGGTGAACCGCTTCCGTTCGTGGGAGAGAGCGGTATAAGTCCTTTTTGACACTCGAATCGTTTGCAGGAACGTTTACAGGCACGAACAGCAGCAGGAGCGTGAGCTGCCACCGTGAACTTGAAATTATCTTTAACACGCGCCCTGATGCTTGGCGGGAGAACAGTTTCTCCTGTATCGTTTATTTAAGTACACACTCCACTGTAATCTTATCGAGAGATAGATACTAAAGTCTGTGCTATGTTAGATCTGAATGAGTTACCAGTTATGCGCTTGTTCAATGAATCAGGAAAATATCGAATAAATTAATACATTTATATGAAACATTAAATGAGTTCTTAAAAGAAATAATGAAAACTGAATCTACAACTTTTATCGGAATCATTTTTGCTGGAGCATCGCGCAAAGTGGTTAGAATACTCGAGTACTATAAGTTTATTTTCGGGACCGTGTCTGAAGCACGTGTTCGAGAGGAAACGGGCGTACATGAGTTTCCACTTGGCGACGCTTCCTCAGAGGCGCAAGTAAGTAGTTGTCACGTACGCTGTTAAACCGACCGACAGTGCCGACAATTTTCAAGCCACTTAAACTACTTCATTTTCTGACAAGGGACCCGTAAGTATTCCTTACGCTTTGCGCTTGACCCGCAAGAGTCACTGGCTGCTTATACACAATTATGCCAGTGCGTCTGACATTTTACAACCCACGTGCAACTTTACTAGTCGCTGATAATTTAACAATTAAAACGAGTAAACGTTCTGCGGGTTCTAAGCATAAAAGCAATCAGAAGTTCGATATGAATGTAGGTATTTCCAAGAGTATTTGAATATTACTCCAAGTTTTACTTTCATGGACGGATATTCGGTCGTTGCGTCAGAATGCATAAAGTTCATATTTAAACGAATGCATTTTTACATTTTACCAGATCAAGAACTTTATTCGTCTACAAATTATATAATATACGAATCTCGAAGTGTCGAAATGATTTGCATGGGAAAATAGTTGCTGCACAGACCTTTTTTATTACGCGTGCGTGAGCCGTTGTGTGTGCTGTTGGTGCACCAGCCTGCCCTGCTCCTGTTCCCACCAGCTGACGACGTCCATGAATTCGCCGGGCTCGGTGATCTCCTGCTTGTAGTACACGGCGACGGGAAATGTCTCCGGGCTGACCATGTAAACGGTGGTCGCGCCTTCCTCGCTGTCGCCGGCACCGCTGTACGGCGACAGAATCCGCGGCTCGAGGTTCTCCTCGTTTTGGCCGTAGTACTCCGAGGGTGGAGACGCCACCGAGTTCGGCGAAAGCCGAATCGTGTTCGAGAGCGTGCTTGGCTCTAAATTCTCCTCATCGCCCACTGAGGAAGCATAGTAATCGCGAGGTGATGCTACCGCTGTCCGGTTTGGCGATAACCTGAAATTTGACAAGGGGTGATTGCGTTTTTAAAACATTTACTTATTTCTATTATAATTATTGCGAATACTGATGACTTAATTATTTAAATGATACGATGTGTGGCACGTAAAACAGTATATTATATAGAGGAAATAAATGTAAAGTAGCTGAATTTCATTTGCACGTGAATGCACTTCTTCATCAATATCATTATCATCGAATGATATGAATGGATTGATTTTATCAAAACATGTGTGATTATAAATGATATTTCATACTGTTTTTTTTTTAAATAGTATCCATATTATTTATTTATATTATGTTGAGAATTTACTTGGATTTTTTCTTCTTCCTGTTCTCCTCGTCTTCGTCTAGCTGGTCGGCGTCGTCGTCCTCGGCAGCGAGAACGTCGTCGTCGAGGACTAGCCTCTCCCCAGATCCATTATGAGTAGACGAAACGATACTGCTCGTAGGCGATGGTAAGCACTGCGCGATGCCAGCGTTCGGGTCGTACTCGACCCCGTCCGCCTCGGCGATCAGCCTCTGCAATCCCCTGATGTACTCAACGGCCATTCGCAGGGTTTCTACTTTCGACAATTTCTTGCCCCTGTCTCCGTAACCGGCAGCGATGTGGCTCGGGATGTGCTGTCTCAGCGTCGCGAACCCGTTGTTTACTTGCTTTACGCGATTCCTCTCGCGGGCGTTGCGCCGCGCGACGGCCACCGGCGGTGGCTGCCCGTTCTTCCCGTGTTTCTTCAACCGGGACGGATCGTACGGTGGCAACACGATCGCTGGGCTCCCATCACTGTTATTATTGTTGTTGTTATTGTTCTTGGGCACTATCAAGTGCGGCTGATTACCGATTATGTTACTCTCGTTATCCTGGAGAGTCCTGAGCAGCATCAACTGCTCCTGGTCGTTCCCGTTCAACTGCACCCTGTTGCAGAACACCGTAACGCCCATAGTAGACATCCTGATCGCTATTCTCTGATCCGCTTATTCGGATAGAAAGTGTCATCCACCGATTCGATTATAAGTACTCGATTCCTCGAATGGAATTTCTCCTCATCGGTCTATTGGAAGTGCGACAATTTCGAGGAGGCAAACAATGGGGTTTGCGGAGAGCACGAGTTCGCTTCGTGAGAATAGCAAAGTCGACGAGGCAAATTTATCGGCTCTAATGCCTGTCGAGGACGAGTCTAATTGATAGACTTATAAATAAAACGCGCTGCGTCCCCTTCGGAGACGATCATCGACGCAGACGGTTAGACGACTGTCTGATTTAACGTCCGAGATCTGGGTCAAATATCTTACCAAACTTTCCAAGTAACTGTCTCGTATTCTACGTTTTTCTATAAAATCTCCACTTTTTATTATCTCGTGAAAATGACAACAGTATTATTTTCGTTTTACACATAACAGATTAACGATAGAATTATTTTAACAAAGTATACTGAAACTTTAATGGGAACATTGAAATCTTTTTAATTATTAGAGCTCAACAGGTACAGTGTATAATTTCTGGCCGCGGATCGAGTTAGAAGCAGGCTTGTATAATTTAATGGCAGACACGTGGTGTATTCAGCCGTAGGAACCGTTCGATGACAGTCCGGGTTCTTTTTCTACCAAACGACAAAGCTGATGACCCGAACCAAGATCCAATTGTCTCGTTGCCGGTCAGAACGACTTAAGTAAAGCATGAGGTCACCGTCTATTCTTCTCGGCGACGGTCGTCGACTCCTCGCAAAATTGTTCCTCGGAATCGCCCCGTTACTCTTTGCGAAACTCTTGAAAATGTCGAATATAATGGACAACGCTTGACTCGTTGTTTCACACGATGATGAAACCGTAAGAACGTTGCGTGACTCTTCAATTGGAATCGAGATCGAATCGTATCACAATAAAACTGGGGAAACAGTATAGCACCAATTAAACGTTCTTATTTACAAGGAAACCTTCGAACAACGAGTCCGCTCTAATATAAATATTGAAAATCTACGATTACACAGGCAATGACACACATGTGTACACCTATTACGAATTCATCTGACTCATTCCAACTTTTATTAAGGCACTTGAATCTAATCGTCGTTGCTCGGTCCGTAAAACTAAGTTAAGCCACTCGGTAAAAATGTAAGGCACGTTGGAAAATCCTGGGATCGGTGTTTCTACATCGGGAACCCTTTCACGGCTTCGTGAGTCCTTAAAACCAGTCCTGACTCGCGCACACGTTACACTGATGTAACTCCGTTCACGCGGGAAACTTCGAACACCCGGCGTTTCGTTATCGGACAATCGTTCACAGTTCGCATGGTCAGGAAAATGAACGGAGAACTCGAAGATTCGGTCTGATCAGCTTTGTGCACCACGGGGTGAAATGGACGGATGTTGGCACCAAAGGAGGAAGGTAAAACGTCCGATGGAGTGACAAGTCTTCGCGGTTTTTTAAAAGTACACTTTGATATCCGTACAACTCGGTATCGATGATTCACTCGGTTTTCACTTATTTCTTTAATCGTTTCGACACTCGAGAGAATCCGTTCCGAATTCCTCCGGGTTTCCCAGGCCTCCCGAGGTGTTCTACATCGGTGTCACTTTTTCACGCGCGTTTCGTTCCGATGGCAGCGACTGGCGGCAGCGGCATTCGTTTTCTGATCAGACCTCCGTGCTACGCACACGCACCGCATGGCGTCCGCGTTGAGAATGAACGCGGACATCCGATAGAGATGGGTTAGGTTTCAGCGAGAGAGCGTTTCGCCGGCACCGCCAGGGCCGGGGGTTCGACAGGGTGGCGGAGACGCCGGTCGGGGGGAATTAGGGCTCGCGACGACGCGGACCGAAAGGGAAGGGAAACGCTCGAGTGCGAGCAGGACAGGGGTTGAAAATTGTGAGGGGGAAACACACGGACAGCGGTGGATTCTTTGTGTGCGACGCGTTGCGAACAGAGGAACAGGCCGTGGTGGGGATTTTGAGCACGCGCCGCTGCAGCCCCCTTCGTTTCTTCGTCCCCCGGAACTGAAAAAGGGGGACCGTGCGCCGCACCATATGCCGGGGGGAGCGCGTGTGCCAGTTGCGTGCTACGTGAACGTGTATATCTATACTTTAAGTTTAAGCACTTTGCTATACTCTCGATCATTTGCAATAATTTCCCTTTTCTCTCTGCATGTAGGATTAAACAGGAAATTGTACTTGTGTATCAACTACGTTTTCTATTCAGATTGTTATCTCGTTCAACGTGTTCGATATTCATATTGATGTATATGTCTGATCTCAGACTTCATTTAAGAATAAAGAAAAAATAATTTACCTACGAGATTATTTCATTTTTCTAAGCAATAGACTTGATGAGATATGAAACATGTAATTGATAGAAACTTTTAAA